GCCTTAAATATCTATCACGTAACGCCGTTCCGTAGAGAGATGATGCTGGATGCGCGGCGAACAGTTCTCACCCGCAGCAGCAGCAGCAGCGCCATCACACCACTACAGCAGCAGCAAGCACCAAGCAGAGCAGCAGCCGTCTCACCGCAGCAGCAGCACAAGCCACCGTATATAGCAGTGTAGCCGGTAGTATGAGTTTTAGTAGCACAGCGGATTCCCACACCACCACCACACCAGCATGCAGCAGCAGCAGGCGAGACCGAGGTAGTAACATTTTTACTCCGCAGCAATGCAGCCAGCAGAGCGCAAAACAGTGCAGTAGCAGTTCTCACCCACCACCACCACCTAGGAGCACCGTAACAGTTACCAGCGCCAGTGCGCGCAAAGCAACAGTTACCAGGAGCAGCAGCCCAGCAACAACAGTTACCGCAGCGCACACAGTCGGCAGTGCGCATCACCACCACTGCACCGCCCGCGACCACCACCAGCAGCAACCCGCAGCAGCAGCGAGCAACAAACAGCAGCGCAGCAGCCGCCAACAACAACGCGGCAGCAGCAGCCATCCCACACCACCACCAGTGCAGCAGCAGCAGCCGAGGACCAAAACACACAACAACAACAACAACAACACAACGAGCAGCAGCATCAACAGCAGCAGCAGCGCGAAAGCCCGTGGTTTCGCCGCGTGGGCCTGGTGGTTTCGATCGTGTGATCGTCGTTCCTCGATTTAAGTCGCGTTGTCGACACTCGGGGCAAGGATAACGCTGGTTCGAATCAGGAGCTTTGCTGGGTTTTTTTATTACGCAGGCGCGCTCACGTCAGTGTCTACGTTCAGCGTCAGTGTTCACGGCCGGACTTCATTCGCCTGAGGTGAGTTCACAGGACAAACGCGTCGTGTAATCGCACGAATGACCAGTCGAGGGTCTTTTAGAACCGGAACGTCGCAGTGATCGAGGCGAAACATTAAATGGCCCGAGCCACCAACACGACACCGCGCACATCACTCCGGCCGCACCACGCCGGCAGCGCACGCACGCAACGCCGCATGCACGCACGCACGCACGCCACTCGGCTCGGCGCATACACATCACACGCCGTGTCCTACTACGCAGCCCCCGCACACATACCACAAACACGTGCACGGTACACACTCGCGCACATGCACACACGCAGCGTTCCCAGCACAGCACCTACCAGTCACACATTACAGCACAAACACGCACGTACACCACTCCGCGCACACACGCTCTACGCACTTACGCACACGACACGCCACTGCACACGCAACACACACATCTTGCGGCAGCCGATTCATGGCACTTGTATAAGCATGTGGCTTCATCTCGTTCAGTTTACAAAACTCCTTACACTCGCACGCAAAGACCTTCGTACATGCGGTACCGCGAGGACATGCCACGCAGAACCCATCGCCACGGCGAGACGTACACGCACTACGCACTATTACATCAGTTGCACGACAGGAGATGCCACGGCGCGCGCGCGACACGCACTGGTGCTACATCACAGCACCACACGCGCTCGCGCCTACACACACGTAATACATGCGGCGCTCAGACACGCACACGCATCGTTACATTCTCAGTGGCACGAAGGAATTGCACTTGCGCCACACACGACGGCACACACACACACGATGCTGCGCGGCGCGCGCACACACACACACACACAGCACACGACGTCACCGCTAGCATCAGTGCACGAAATGGAGGATGCACTGTGGCGCTGCGCGCGCACACGCACGTCACCATCACACACACCAGCTCGCGCGCGCGCACAGCAACACACACGCACACAACACACATACACACGCACACACACACGACATCACTGACCACACACACACGACGACGCGCTGCGCGGACGCACACATCGCACAACACACACACACACGACACACAGCTGCGCTGCTGCGCGCACACACACCACCACACCATATCACGCGGCTGTCGCCACACAACACACGACACACACACACACGCACGTACATCAGTGCACGAAGGAATGCACACACACACACGCACACACACACACGCGCGCACACACACACACACGCGCGCACACACACACGCAAGCACGTACGCACGCACACACGTACGAAGTACTGCGCTAATCCTTTGGATACCCTATTTATTGGCAATTCATCGTGGAATATGTATGTAAAACGATGTGGAAGCGAGCTAACACAAGACTGTGACGCAGCGGTAACGTATAGCATAGCTCGCGCGCGCAGCAATATCAAAATAAACTAATAAACAGTTTAATATCCCCCGTGCCCGCCAGGAGAGATGAAAATTGCTGCCCCGACGGAACCTTAGCGCTGAAGTGCATCAATGAAAGTAAACTCCAAATAGAAATGTTAGTCGGGGGAGCAATTTTACAGTCTGTGCATTGCACTAGATCGGGAGGAAGCGGGTGTTTGGTATGAGCATCTTTGCAACAGAACAACTCCACGCACACACGTACGGACGAACGCACGCATGCACGCACATTCACACGCACGCACCGACAGACGCACGCACGCACGCGCCTACATACACACACGCACGCACGAACCCGTTCACCAACCTACATACACACACGAACGCACACGCACGCACGCACGCACGCACACGGTCACGTGTACGCGCACATGCGCACGCGGGGCAGACG